AAAATATTTAATCCTCTATCCTCATTTTACACTTCATTTTTACTTATTCCATTATACCATGTCTGCCAATGCGGCCTAATATTCTTTTCCAACCTTTTTCTAACATTCTTTTATATTACAGTATTTCTGAAGATATATTTTAAATTTTTTCCAGTCTACTTCCATCGACCCTTCTTCCTGGTCTCGAATTCTGCCGGTCATCTCAGCCAGTTCCATATAGTCCATCACTTTCATCTGCCATTCTTCTCGGGTAGGCAATTCTTGTGTCTTCCAATATTTCCCAATGAGTATTCTTGCTGCTGCTGTCGCATACATAAAAAAATTCCTGTCTTCCTTTCGCACCAATTGGCCGACCATGCCCAAGAGGAAGGCCTCTGGTTTCTTCACAAAAGTGTATTTCAATACCTTTTTTAGTTCATTATATATCATTTCCCAGAAGGCCTTGATCTTTGGGCACGTCCACCAAAGGTGGAAAAAGGTACCTTCATTTTCTTTACATTTCCAACATTTATTATCGGGCAAATGGTAGATTTTTGCTAGCTTGACGGGTTAAGTACCACCTATAAATCATTTTCATTATATTTTCTCTTAAAGCATTACAAGCCGTAAATTTCATACCTGTAGTCCATAACCGTTCCCAGTCAGCAAACATAATGTTATGCCCAACATCTTGTGCCCATTTAATCATAGCAGACTTAACCATTTCATCCTGTGTGTTCCATTTCAGCAGCAGGTTATACATTCTTGACAAATTTTTAGTTTTAGGCTCTAACAATTCCGTTTCCAATTTGGATTTTTCCTCCTGGAAACCAATCTTTTTATCTAGGTTAAAACCTCCCTTATTTGATAATAATGAAGCCAATCTCGAACTTTAGTTTTTAATTTGTCAAAACTCTGCAATTTTAGTTTATCTCCAACTTGTTCTAAAATTTCACAGTATTTTGGCCAATTTGTCTCCATGTTAGTTTTTTTCAATGCCTTTGTTTCACCTTTTAAGTTGAATTACTGAAATAAATGAACTTCCACGATATTCTAATTTTCCGAGTTTCACCTGTATATCAAGAGAAGGAGCCTGTTGATTCTGGTCGCTCTTACCTCCTGCCTCCCCCTTCGAGCCAGCAGAGGTCCCTGCTTCTCAATGTAAGCTCCTTGTCACGCTCCTACGAGTCTTCAGATGCACCTTGGCATGTTAAAATGACAACTGTGGCATCAAATATCATGGTTGGCTATAGCTGTGGTGGGCTAATGTTGACCTAGTCCTACAGAACTGCCTCTGTGATGCCATGGGTAGAGTGTTGGACTTGGACATGAGCGACCAGGGTTTGAGTTCCCACTCAGCTATAAAATTCATTGGGTGACCTTGGGCCACTCACTGACTCTCAGCCTAACCTACCTCACAGGGTTGTTGTGAGGGTGAAATTTGGGAGAACCATGTACACCACCACAAGGATCTTGGCGGGAAAAGTGGTATATTAACGCAATAAAATAAATGAAAACATTTACACTGTCCTTCAGCACCCAAGACTAGATTTTGCCCGATGAATTTGATATCGCCCAATTCCCACACGAAATGTCCTGATGCTTGTGTCTTGATGCCTAGGCTGAACTGTATACATCCTCTGTATTTCATACTTTTCTGAACGTTGCAGTGAAGTTCTTTTGACAGTTTAAAAGTATCAAACTTTCCTTTAAAACGTTCGCAGAGGCATTCAGCGGCTGGAAGATACTGTTCCTGGCAACCCTGGAATTATTAGGTGTCAAAGTATGTGGCTGATTTACACTTTAAGATACTCTTTTATTTTATGTTAATAGTATTGCTTTCTTACTATGTCTGGAATCCTTTGGAAGTTTGAGCAGGATAGAAAATAAATAATAAATAAATGCCTATTTTAAGAGAAAATGAGGTTTTATTATGGAAGACTTGAGAACAGTGGATGTGAAAAAGCCACATCGCCATTCAGAAGCTGGTGAAATGTATACATGGCCACTAGGTGGAGACTTTGTATTAGTTTTCATAAACTGAGTGAACTAGGTGGGGAAAAGGCAAGCTTAAAAATATTTGACAGTCCCTGTAAGAGAGAATTATGCAGAATACTTAATTTCTTTGTGTTACTTGTATATGTGTGCTGCTTTATACAAATGCGAGCACTAAACACAGGACAACTTGTTTTTGGGTGTGTGTGTTTTTAAAAAATGCAGCCAAATTTTCCTTTCTAGGTGGTTACAGTAAATTCAGTAAATGAGAAGTTTTTACATTTCTATTGCATAAAGATCTAGGCCTCCTCCCTCAATATATTTCTCCTATATGGGGATATCGTGTGGTCTCAGCAGAGAAATGCCAGCTTGTTTTCAGTCAAGTGATAACTCACTCCTGAGATTCTACCTAGCTGTGGATAGATCAGGGTTGCCTTCACAGGGTTAATTCATTCATTGTGGCAAATCCAGGAGACATAAATAATCTCTTGCAGTACAGTGTAATCCTATGATTTTTAAAAAAATTTAATTTATGGTGTGTTTTGTTGTTGCAGCCTTAATCTGCCCTGTACGGACAGGCAAAGCACAGTTGAAACTTTTTAGTACTGCCATCCCTTTAATTACCTATTTTTTCTTGCCCTTATTTGTTATACAGATAGTAGATTTATTCTTGTTCAGTCATCATGGCTTTCCTAAATCGTCTTTAGTCAGTTGCGGAGGCAAGTATGCTAATTGCTGATTTTCTCTTTGCCACTAGAAGAATTATTCTTAATAATAATAATAATAATAAGAAGAAGAAGAAGAAGCTCAAGTTCACAACTGGGAGAAGATTGATCTGCTTGTTGAGTTCACAGTGACACTCAAGCCTGCCTATTCAGGTTTTCTGTGTGTTTCCCCATTGGTAGCTCTTAGGAAAATGAGCATTTTCTCTATATAAGGTTATATGTTCTGCAGAGAAAGTCTATGACCTACTCTTCCCTCTTAGTTTTATGCTGTTGATGTTCCTCTTTCACTCCTTTCCTGATTAAGTTGGCAGACTCGATGCGTGTGCTCAGATCCCTGCTACATTATACATGCCAATGATGTTATGTTGAGTGTGCTGTAGACGACTTATTTTGTAAAGTGGTGCACAGCAGTGAATATGTAGCATGTAAAATTAGGGCAGCAATCTTAGGACTCATCCACAACTTCCGCTTCACCCATATTTTGATTGTATTGTGTACCCAATAAATCAGATCTTATCAGATGCATGGAAAATCAGAAGAGAGATTTTACTGAACCAGACTTCAGTTCAGCAGGTAAAATCGGGTTTTTGCAATGTACAGCCACGGAACAACAGGGAAAGTTCTTGAACCCAGGGGAATTAATCGGTACACAGTACAATCAAAATACAGGTGAAGTGAAAGTTGGATGAGCCCTTACTCTTGGTAAGGTAAAGGTAAAGGGATCCCTGACCATTAGGTCCAGTCGTGGCCGACTCTGGGGTTGCGGCACTCATCTCGCTTTATTGGCCGAGGGAGCCGGCGTACAGCTTCCGGGTCATGTGGCCAGCATGACTAAGCCGCTTCTGGCAAACCAGAGCAGCGCACGGAAACACCGTTTACCTTCCTGCTGGAGCAGTACCTATTTATCTACTTGCACTTTGACGTGCTTTCGAACTGCTAGGTTGGCAGGAGCAGGGACCGAGCAACGGGAGCTCACCCCGTTGCGTGGATTCGAACCGCCGACCTTCTGATCGGCAAGTCCTAGGCTCTGTGGTTTAACCCACAGCGCCACCCGTGTCCCTACTCTTGGTAGGGGTGTCTTATTTCTGAGTGAGCAAATATAGAATTTCACGGCCCAAAATGTTGGAAGTGCCTGATTTGGTTTTCTCTTTCATTTTTTTCACTCTGCAAACTATGCTGTTTTCTAAAGATGCCTTTGGCGTCCTTTCCTGTGGCATAAACTATCTGTAATTTGAGAATTCATTATCTCCTCCCTCTGTGGAAGCATTTCATTACAAACGGCAGTTTATTTTGGGCCCTCTTCCTCTCCCGCCACCTAAACAAATATGGATATGTTGCTTCTGTTAGCTTGGCTAGGTTATTCTAATGGAACTGCCCGCTCATTCATAAAATGACAATTTCCAGAGTTTCTTGGAAACCAGCACAGTTAAATCAGTTTTAGTACAGATGTGCCTTTTGATCCCTTTTTTAGAAGTGACCATCTGATGTTGCTTCTGTGTGCCAAATAAATGACCTTTAGCATTAATCTTCATGAAAATTACAAAGTTCTCAACTGTATTTAGCTGTTAGGGTAAGTCTGATGTGGCCACAATCCTCTAACAAGGCTACTGATACCAATGTAAAGAAGGGGATATAATGGATGATGCAGAGTAGTTTGTTTATATCATCATCATCATTATTATTTTATTATTATTATTTTAAGTAACTAGAAATGTTTCCAAGAACCTCTCCTTGATCAATCAATCTAGCTGAGAAATCATTAATCAACTTGTAGAATTTACTGTTTTGAAGTAAATAAATCTACAGTTTATAAGATTATGCTTAAATCGTTCTCCAATTTCTGTGGCATATAATGATCTCTAAAATTTTGGTCTGTTCTAGAACAGGGGTGGCAACAGGTGATTTATGGCCTGCCAGCCCCTGAAATGACCAAGAGATAGAACATCCTGCTTGCTCTTTACAGAGTGATCTTTAAAAAGGAGATAGAGTACTTTATCTCCTGATCAGGAGGAGCCCTAAAGAGCAGACAGAGGGCTTTTATCTCCCATCTTAGCACTAGGCACCATAATGCTAAAGTTGGAGATAAAATCCTCTGCCTACTTTCTAAGAGTGAAAGGCAACATTTCTTCCTCCCACCACCACTCCAGTGATAGAGTGTGCCCATAATGATCTGTTTTGGGGTGTTGCAGGAACCCCCCCAATCATTCAGTTTGTACAAACACGACACACACACGACATACGTGACGTTTCTGTTATAAATTCGTAGTAAATCAACCATACATCGGATTTACACTGGTCCACTTTTATTTTACTCCATGAAGGAAGGACTACAAAATGGGGAAGGTTTGATACAGGGCAGCCATAATCCCTTGAGCATACCAGCACATACACAGGAGCCCTGCCCAGTTGCTATGCCAACCCTGATGGTCCTAGACAGAAGACCATCAAGGTCACAAAGGACTTGCATATGGGAGTGGATTCAACACGGACTGGAACAAAGGACAATGATCAGATCTTCCCTCTGGGGGCAGGAAACTGCCAGCTCCCCTTTGTCCTCTGGAAATGACTCATGGGGAGGGGGAGAGGCGGAACCAGCCAGGTGACAAGATACTCAGGTTACCTCCACAACTCCTCCCTCAACCCCTCCTTTTTGTGATGTGTCAATGATGTAGTCATGATGTAGTTGTGATGTGGTTCTAGGGGTGTAGTTTGGGGGATTAGTAACTAATAAAAGTTAGGGTCTTCTTTTGTTCTGTGCTTCCATTTTGCTTCATCTTGTTGCGGGTGGGAGTCCTGTCGCGACAGTATCCAATAAAGTCCAAGCCTACAGGCTGCTGTTTTGCTCCAAGTTATCCTGGTTGGTGTCTTTGTTTTTGTCCAAGGGAGCCCTCGGATTTCTCCGTTAACAGGGATATGCAGTGTTCCAGCTACCGCACCCCAGCACAGGAGTGGAGAGAGCTGGAAATGCTAGTTGCACTTGTTTGCATATGTCTCTCTTTGTTGGAAGTGTATATATGACTGTAGACCTGCATGTTTGTGAGAGTGAGAAAGTGCTGCTTGTGCTGTATGTGCAAACCCTCAAACATCTCTTGAGATGTAGCTGCGAGAATATTGCTAGCAAAGAATTGGAAGAAACAAGATTTACCAACTATCGAAGAATGGCAGATGAAGATGATGGACTATATGGAACTTGCCGAACTGACCGGGAGACTTCTAGACCAGAGAGAAGAGACGGTGGAAGAAGACTGGAAGAAGTTTAAGGAATATTTGAAAAAAATATGTTAATATTTAAATCTTAGAATAGCTTTGGAAGTGGATATAGGCTGTAGGGTTAGAAGTAGAAGGCAGTGTATTTTACAATGGTATTATTTGTAAGTGATAAATGTGAAGTTATTTTAAGTGTGATTAAAAAAAAGATGGTTAGAAACTATAATATATGTAAACTGCTAAAGATGAAGTAAATTGAAAATCAGATAGGTGGGACTTGGGGAAGCCCACTTAACAATGTTTAGAAAAATAAGGATATGACAAGAATTTGTATTGTTTGTTTTTCTGTTTGTGTTCTTTATTAAAATGAATAATTTTTTTTTGGAAAAAAACATCTCTTGAGATGAAAACAGGGACATTCTAGTCTACATCAGTGTCCCTACCACCACCACGTCATCATCTGTGTATGCACACTGCCAGTGGAATCATAGCTGTCAACTTACAGATTTGAAAATAAGGGACCAGCAGCCTCGAAAATAAGGGATCAGCAGCCAAAATAAAGGATTTTCAGAGCACAGGTATGTTCAACTTCTGAGCCCCTCAGAGCCAAAGGCAGAAAGCCCAGCCAGCAGCCAAACAAAGCCTCAAGCGGTGGTTCCCACAGTGCAGCAACCTGGCAAATGGGATGCAGTAAGGAAAACCACCGCCACCTCTCCGCTGGGAAGCGCTGAGCAAAGGTGAGTCCCCAGGCAATGCGGCCAATTTGATCGGTACAAGGCATGCAAACTCCACCCCCTAGTCGTTCTTAGACTCCTTATTGGGTGAGCAACACAGCCAAGCAACACAGTTGGAGCCTCCCTCCTCCCTGGCCGGCAGGGAGGGAGGGAAAGGAGCTGCTTCCTTTGAACCCTGGAAATTTAAGGGACCTCATCAATAAGGAACAGCAGCGGGACACGACACTGGGATAAGGGACTTTCCCGCCAAATAAGGGACAGTTGACAGCTATGAATGGAATACGGGAAAAGGGTGGGGCTGGCTGAGCTGACCCAATGGCTGTTACCAAGAGGAGTATGTAACAATAACATACTAGCAAATGTCTTGGTTATATATGATAAAACCATGAGGCTTCCATCAGCCCACTTCGGACATCAGAGGAGGCATCTGCAGCAACATAGTCTGAGTGGTCAGTGGCTACAGCCTTACTTCCGTCTTGATTGCCACACCCTCAACTGACTAAATTCCAATTTCAGGCTAATCCCCTTGAGTTTAGTTGGACCATTCTAGAATGGCTTGTGTAAATCTGGTCTGGAAGCAACGATATCTTATATGGAAACATTTAACATACCCAAGAAGAAAGTTTTCCCCTCAACAGACTTAGAGGGCATTGTAACTTTATGTAATGGTTGGACAATGACGTTAAGCCAGAAGACAATAGGTGCACAATAATAATAAGTAATCCCACTGTTATTGAAAACCCAATCTGAGATGTTAAAATTGGAATCATGCATCCAGTTGTTATTTCTATGTGATGAATGTCTGGTTTGCCCTAAGCTGCTGAACTATTAATTCTGAGTGCTTCCACCATTGTTCTTATGCCTGTAGATACTGCTGCAAAGAAGATTAGAAGCTTTATTGCTTAAACAGAAAACTCTGAAATGGTACAATAGGTGAAAGATAAGTCTGTGTACAACAAAAGGCAAATTTGCATGGACTTATTTTAACTGAACATTTGACCTACAGCTTAAACAATTAAAAAACCACCAAAAAACCCAAACCAGAACACCACTGAAAACAGTAATCTAAAAGTTAATATATTGAAAACTACTTTTCCCCCCTTGAATCTTAACTCTCAATTATATTTTTAATTAAAAGTTGATACTTTTAAGACTGTGTTTGGCACTTGTCCACACTATTGGAAAGTAATAACCTTTTCCCATCAAAAAAATCCGAAGATCTCAGTATGTTTTTACTCTGTGGTTATCACCACTTTCTTCCACAAACTATATAAATTTAACCTGTCCCATCTCTTCAAGTACTTTCAACACATCCATCTCTATTTTCACCCAAGCTTTATTTTATATAGAGTTGCTGTTGAATTTCACCTACAGCTGGAATCTGTAGGCCTTTCTAGGACAACCCCACCCCCCAAAAATGTTGAGAAGTTGAAAGCTATCACATATCAAAAACATTACTATCATGCATGTGTGATAGGGGATGACGCCCCTGCATGGGTTATTCTATGTGTGTCATCTTTGTATACATCCATAGTAAGGTATTCATGGACCAATTTAAGAATTGGCTCTAGAAACATCGCCAACTGTATCACTAGATCTCTAAAGGGTGTTGCTGAGCTTTGTTTTCCTGAAGTAAAGAAGAAATCCAGTACATGGAACATCAAAGAAATCTACTCCTGAGGAAACACTGGACACGGCACATGTATCTAGAGTACCAATGAAGCAGTCAGGTGCTTTTCCCTAAGTCCAGGGGCCACCAACCATTTGCAAAGCAGAGAAATTGTCATGGCCACCACTGGCAACCTACAGGCATTTTTGTGTATGCATAGACCCCTTGGAACCAAACACCCGTGTAAGATGCAGTTGTGCTGTACGTATTCATAGCTCAGTTGGTAGAGCATGCAACTCTTAATCTCAGGGTTGTGGGTTTGAGCCCCACATTGGGCAAAATATTCCTGCATTGCAGGGGGTTGGGCTAAATGACCCTTGTGTTTCCAACTCCACAGTTCTATGATAATATCCTATTTTCCTCCCATCACTGAACTATGTACTTGATAGACTTGAAGGCAGTGGAGTAATGCAATTTTGAGGGGGGCATGCCACCATAAGCCTGCCAAAGCAGTCAATGTAAGGCTTGACTTAAGATTTATCTTAATTGTACATGACTTTTTCCAGCTGCTTTCTCCCAGTTTTCCTGCTAGATCTTTAAGGAGGCAGTGAAAGATCAGAACCTCGATGAGTAAAGCATGGGGAAATTCTTCAATCAACCTCCTAGGGTGTGGAGTAGTCCAGGGATAGCCAATATGATGTCCTCCAGCTATTTTGAACTCCCACCAGTCCCAGCCAGCATGGTAATAGTAGCTTTAATCCACCAGGATCTGGTAGATCCACAGGCTCAGGGCCATATCTTATGAAACAATAATTCAGGTAGATAATTCTGGGTGATTAATTACTCTTCTGTTTTTCCTGTTTTCAGTGCCTCTGTACTCGTTCGCATTTAGGTCCAGATATAGAATTAAAAAATTCTGCTCCCCTCACCCCCCAAAAATTCTCATTAACCTCAGCAGGTCACTTGATTCCGTGGCATTCGGCTCTCCAAGAAGGCATGCACTTTTGTACCGCTTGTCAGTGGATTTCTATAAAATGGCAGAGCTTTGTGTCAGAACTGTCTTGTTCTTGAACAGCAGATGCCCAGAGACAATTACATTTCCACGCTGACAGCTTGATATCTCAGATTCTTTCTCTCTTGGTCCCCGGAAGGAAATGAGAAGATTTCACAAAGTTGAAATCAGTTTCCAGGAAAGCTGTGTTGTGTGAGCTTCATATTAAATCGGCCCAATGTCACAATGTGCAGGCTTGTGGCTCCTTCGTTGATAGTCAAGGGGAATAGCTACAGGACTGACTGCACAGTGACCTCAGGCTAAGAGCTGCGGAACAATGCCTCAGGGAAGCTCCAAAGATTTATCATAATACTCTTTGTTTATAGGAACTTTCAGGTATAACGGAGACTGACAGATACCCTACCACAAAGGTGATGAAGTTTAAAAAAAGAGAGAGGATGGCGATCTAGAGAGACAGGAAGTCCAGTATGTACACTCACACGGTATACAAAATCTCTTTTAACTGGATAATGTTTACTGCTCCCTAGAGCTATTTCTCTTGATAGGCTGGCAAAAAAGATTAACATGCTGTGCTGACTCTTCACAGCCTCTTGCGTTTGTTATTTCATTCGTCTAGTCAGATACTGCGGAGGTGCCATGCTGCTTGGTTCATGTTTGTGCATCTGTTGCTACTGCCAACAAAGCTCATATTATAATGTGATAAAGATGGCAGTGAGTATATGGGACATTGTCTTCCTGTAGGAAGTTGTTGTCATTGAGTGAGTTCCTAGGAAGCATCTCTGAGGTTGTGCCATAAACTTTGGACCCTCCTTTCAACGCTCCAGATTTTGCTTTGGATGACACCCAGACGCTGCTAGATGACCCTCAAACCTTTTTTCACTTATCTTACCTGTTCCACTTCCCTGTTCTACCCCAAATTTCATTTTAATTAAATAAGTCTGAGTCTCCTAACTTAGACTCTAAACGATATAAGGTAAAGGACCCCCATGCAGTCAAAGGCGACTGGGGTTACGGCACTCATCTCAATTTTCAGGACAAGGGAGCTGGCGTTTGTCCACAGACAGCTTTCCGGGTCATGTGTCCAGCATGACTAAACCACTTCTGGTGCAACGGGACACCATGTCAGAAGCCAGAGCACACAGAAACACTGTTTACCTTCTTGCTGCTGTTGTACCTATTTATGTACTTGCACTGGCGTTCTCTCGAACTGTTAGGTTGGCAGGAGCTGGGACAGAGCAACGGGAGTTCACCCCGTTGCAGGGATTCGAACCACCGACCTTCTGATCGGCAAGCCTAAGAGGCTCAGTGGCTTAGATAAGCCTTATAATGACAGAAACTGTGATTTAGAAAGATTGTTTCACTTTACCAGCTAAGCAAAAAAAGAAAAACAGAGCTTCATTCTTAAAATATGCAGATTGCATTTGCATTAGCCCTGCCTCACCTCCCTACCCCTTAAATGGTAAAATACCTATCGAATAAACATGTATAAACCAATGGCAATGCTGAGAGCTGCTTACCTTTGTATCCCCACATTTCTCCCAGAATCTCTGCTTTCAGCTTCCTAAGAATGACAGTATTTGCCTTTTAGTGTGAGGTGTGTTAAGTTGCTTGGTGTGGAAATAGGTTTGAGATGAGCATGGAAATGGGTGATGACTCCTGATGTCACAAAGGCAGTACTATATCTTTATGCTGCTTCTTGAGGAACATATATTCCCAAAACATAGTTTCTTATACTACCTTCCTATGGAAACATTTCAGGAGGAGAAGGTAGAGGACAGACACTTGCAAATGTATGAAAGTTATTGTGTGCACCACATAGTAGAAATATTTCTACACTGATCTTCAATAACGATTCCTAGAGCAGTTTACATATGAAGAAATTACAAATGTTCCTGTCACTCTGGTTATCCAAGAAGCTGTTAATCTGCACATTTTAACCCCATGTTGTACACTAGAGTTCACTGCCAGAAAGAAGACTTGTTAAAATAGGGATTTCAGTAGTTAGTTCATTTTCAAAAGGTCACAATGATCTACTTTGTGATATTCTTCAAAGAGCGAACCCTCAAATACTTCTTCATGAGCAGTAGACCTTGCAGTGAGAAAACAAAACAACAGGAGACTGGACTTGGTGTCTGTACTGTAGATTTTTTTTTAAAAAAAATAATTTTTATTAACCGACCAATCAAATCAAATCAAATCACATCACATCACATAAATTCTGAATTACAAAGCTAAATTTTAAATTTTTGTTGAGGGGACCCATATTTCAAGTTCCGAAGGGGGATTCCGATCATCATCTTGCTGCTGCATTAATATCCACAAATCTGTCCAAATAATGTTCATAATTCTATCCAGCCTTATCTTGCTGTTTCCACATCTCATCTTGTTTGTATATTTTTCTTATTTTTCTTTTGGATCTCTTCTGATAATCTCCTTAAGCTGGTAAACACCAATTGTAATCCTGTGTGAATTTCTCCGTTCGTCCAATCATCATATCAAGATGGTTTCCATATATCATCACTTTCATAAATAACAGCACTCTTTCCATCATTAATTTCGCAAATCTGTCGCTCTTTAGTCCCATTGAGGAGGCTCACCCACAATATAAAAACAGCTCTGTTCCTCCTCCCAGACTAAGTCTTCCGACAGAACTTGCCAAAATGGCGACGGTATTTTTTACTGCGTCATTCCAAAGCTCTTATACTTTCCACGATCTTCTTGAAACATGCTTTGGTTAGAAAATTATCTCCACACAGCCTTAAATCCACAGCTCAAGTCATTTAAACGGCATTTCTGACTTGTGACTTGTGTGGGGGGGGAATTCTTAGTTAATCACATAGAGAAAAGAAAGGAAAGTTTCCCCCCTCCCCCATCCAATCCCGTTGCCGAACATACTGAGCCTTGGTGTGTCTTCTCATGATTTATTCTTGTTCCTCCGACCCGTCTTATTTATCAGAGATCTCATCAGTTAGCAGTCTTTACTCCCCCTTCTTCCTTGAAATATGTGCATTCGCTTCCTCCTAATTGTTTCTTTTGAAGTTGCTGCAGCTAGGGGCGCGGATCAGAGACAGCGTCCAGGAGCGCCGAGATCCACAGGAGGGCTTTCTGCCTAGTGCCCCCATCCCCACAAATTCGGGGGTGGTATAGGGCACAGCAGGCAAGGGCAGTCCTCCCCACACGCTTGGGGGGGCAGGGAGGCTATTTACTCCCATCACAGCCTCCTAATTACCTCGTGTGGGTCGGAGAGATGTTATTGTCAGCCATCTTCCGATGCGCCCCTAGTGGCCCCTCTGTACTGTAGATTTTAAGACCTTCCACACTTGTGTGTGGACAGGAGTAGCTGACTATCTGAAAAAAAGGTGGTAGTTCTGGTAAAGAATCTGTTGGGTATATGTCCAGGTTTCATGAAAATGACCAATAAACTTATCATTTTATGATTAATTCACAGTTGAGGATATTATTTTTGCAGATGAGGTTTGAAAAAATTGCAAGTAGATGCTTATGTTATCTTTGAATGTGTCCTTTGTGGTTATATTACGTATGCAATTTGCAAAATTATGAATTTTCCTAGAAATGATTATTCTTCATTTTATTTTTATTTTTAACTCCCCTCCTTTAGTTTATTGAATCATCAGATTTCATTCAATTGGGCTGTAATCCAAAATTACTTTTTTCTATTTTTGCAATTTGAAAAATTATGAATTTTCCTAGAAACGATTATTCTTCATTTCATTTTTATTTTTTTTACTCCCTCTCCTCTTCAGTTTATTGAATTATCAAATTTCCTTCAGCTGGGCTGTAATCCAAAAGGTGTAGGGATGAAAATAAAAGGACATGAATCAATCTAGAGTAGAACGAAAAGTCTAGCATTTGCTTCCCCCATGAGTAGAATAGTTTTGACTGTTGTGAGTCAAGATGGAGATTCTGACTAAACATCAGGAAGAACTTTCCAACAGTAAGAGCTGTTCGACAGTGGAACAGTCTCCCTCAGGAGGTTGTGGACTCTCCTTCCTTGGAAGTTTTTAAGAGAGATTGGACGGCCATCTGTCATGGATGCTTTAGCTGAGACTCCTGCATTGCAGGAGGTTGGACTAAATGAACTTTGGGGTCCTTTCCAAATCGACAATTCTATGATTCTATGAAGTGGGACTGTGGAGTAAGATACTTAGAAGAGAAACAAGATGATATGCAAGGGTTCAAAAAAAAAAGAAAAGAAAAGCCAACAGGCAATCCTAAAGATCAGCCATCCTGAAAATAACTATGGAATAACAGGACAGGAGAATGACACTGATACAATACTTTCCCAGGGCAAAGAATAACTATAAGCGTCACACAAATTGGTGGTTACTGGAAGTCTAGACAGAAAACTGTGGTCAGTTGTAAATATCTCAATTGTTGCACGGAGACGAACTTACGTATCTACTATGGCAGATGTTGACAGAAATATATATATATATATATATATATATATATAAACCCACAAGCAATAAACACAGCTAACAAGCATAGGGGGTGTTAATGTTCAGGAGTCGGCAAACCGTTATGTCGGTTATTTTAAGTGGCTGTTGCCCTGGCTGTCTGGCTGGTTTTGAAAAGAGAAAAGAATGTTTCCCTCTAAAGAAGTAGAAGTCTGACGAGTATTCTTCGTTGTAAAAAATAAAATAAAAATACATGCACTTGACAGATTGTATCCTTTGGAGGAAAACACCGAAGATAATATAATACAGTGCAAAGTTCACCCAGCAACTTCTGAAAAATGAATGAGGGGTTTAAGCATTGCAGTGAAAGGTGGGTGGGGGAAAACATAGGTGAATGTTTTGTGTGAGGCAACAAACAAAAGAACTGAATGGTGAAAGGAATGTGATGTACTTCTGCAGTCACCCAGAGGGAACATTTGCTACCTTGGTCCTAAGCCATTCAAGCTTGTTTGTTGAGTACTTGGTTACTTATAAAGCGTTATTAGTACAAGTATGGGTGCTTTCT